CTAGTTATATTAATAGGCCACAGTCCTATACCTATCCAGCCACTTATAATATTGCTTTTCGTCAGCCCAGATAGGCGTGCTTGCTGATAACAGGATATAAAGTGTCTTTTGCCGACTATAGTTGAATCGTTCCACTTGTTAAGGTCAGGCTGAAGCTTTTTGCGATAGGCTGACTTGACTGGGCTGAAGACTGATAGATCTAGTGGCTGAAGGACATGGGAGGTATGTGGCGGCAAGAATAACAGATGGACGTTATTAATATAGCATTACCACATAAATTCTGTCGTTGTGTAGCTCCCATGCCCATCTAGGATCAGCAGTCTGGCCTGATCAGGCTGGGGGGTAGTCTGTGGCAAGAAGACCTTCAGCAGCCACTCAACAACAGTCTCATCAGTTGTCCATCCATTATCTGTTGCTGTAAACTCCCATCCATCATAAGGGGCAAGGTCTAGAGGAAACCACTGCTGCTGGACTGTCTTGCCCTTATATATAATAAGAGGATGTAGTGCCTGGCCCTCGGCTGAGATACACTCGATAATGGATACCCAGGCTCGCGATCCAGGCTGCTTTTTACGTACAGACTTAGTCTCTGCCCTGCCTAGCACTAGCCCATTTGCTCCTTGGCCCTCAAGGATACCAGTCTCATCCATGTTGTATCTGTTGGCTGGTTGGATGGCTGATATTGCTGGGATCGCGAGATATTTGAACCAGTCCCTGATAACCTCAGTAGATGCCCCATTAACACGTCTAGAATCAATAGATCGACTTCTCTGGACCTTGATAGATGGGTTTCTTCGTATGAAGGCATTCACCCATCTCTTTCCTAGAGGCTGGGTATCGCCCATCGCATTCAGGATACGCTGGGCAAATTCTCTGACCTGCTGATGCGTTGGCGCAAGCCCAAGGTCAGCCTGGATCTGCACCCAGCTGGCCAGCTTAGCTTCCTGACTAACAGAGAGCCTCTGGAAGTCAGAAAAAGCTGATGCCCTTGACTGGGTGCCAGTTATGCGGTTTTGCAAGGTAGTCTTTGGGATGCCATAGGTACGAGCTGCCTGGCGCTGACTAACGCCATTGGCCATAGCCTCCAGCGCCTGATTAAGCTCATGTTCGGTATACTGGACCATTAGGCTATAAATAAGGTAGCCTAGAAAGATGAGGCCATTTGGATAAGTATGGAAAAAGTTGTGATAGTTGGAAGTTGGAGGATGAGGTTGACGATGAGGGATTTTTAGGTGGTCGGAAGTGGGGGGTGGTCGGAAAGTGGGTACGGTGACTTACAGGCCAGATATATGGTAGGCCTCGGTGTCGTTGATGTTGAACGTGGAGTGAAGAAGCGTTGCTTCCCCGGTTCTTCGCCGTAGACGCGGTATCGCTCAGTGGTCGACCGGTTGTCAGTCAGTGCTAACGGTTGCCCTCCAGAAGCTGATGGCTTGCTAAGGCGATTAGGTTTCGGAGAATATCTGCGCAAGGGCTCCGTGTTAGTCCAGGAATAAACCTCAAAGGGTTGGCCTGATCCAAGTACAGGAAAGATGTAGCGAATGAGTAAGACAGACGGATACAACATATGTACTCGTCGGCAAACAGAGCGAGGTGGTATCCCGGGGTGGCGATGACAACAGTGACGAGCCCCCGCTATGTCTCATTCCAACCTTGATGGTGGCGGCAGAGGCCCAGCCTGCATGGGATGCCATTTCCGTCTCCACTAAGTCCGGGACCCGGGATTGATGTTGCCCCTGGTGTCGTTGATGAAGAAGAGAGTCACCGCGTTGGCGTAGCCGTAGCCCCGACCCTCCACCACGTCCTGTATCAGGAAAGGGGTTTTGCTCGCTGTCATTCCTACAAAGGACGAGTCAGAAAATTCTATAGTTGGCGCCGTATATGGGTACCAGGTCTTTGTTACTTTGTTAGTCGGCTAGTCTCCGTATGCTGCATGAACCACGAACCAACTTTCACCGTCTCCAGATCTGACGAGCAAGGAGGAGCCACGTTTTCAAGTCTTCCACATCCCCAAAATCCCACGTCTGCCTTAATGCTCAAAGGCCGGGTCGGCCCGGTCGACGATCCTCACAAGAAGGGCTTGTTTGACAAATCCCGGGACTGCAGGGCGGAATAAGCAAGGCTTACCCCGTAACTCGATCCTTCCAGGACGAGTCCTCCCGCCTTAGCCGCAATTAGATGGCTAGCGAGGGTACTGGCTTGGCCGGTCGGCTAGCAAAATACGCAGCAGATAATACATACTTCAACCTTGCCCAGGATACGTCACACTTGTCAAGAAATAGTTTAGGAAAGAGGATGTTCGCAGTACGAAGGCAGAAGTGGAACCACAATCGTCACCAGTATCTGCTCTAATGCGGCCATCGGTAACTCAACAGGGACACGCGAAATTAACTTATTCATCATGCTTCTGACAATCAAAGCCAGCGGCAGCAGCAAGAAGGCTTTCACCCAATATTGAAAAGCTAGGCATGATCTCGGACATCATGGTGTGTGCAGCGAGCGTCCCGACGCTACATATTTTCAGTATGATGCAGAGCGTCACAGCTGGTTATAGCTGCGTATGAAACCGAAGTAAAGGTGCCGGACGGCCATGCTCATCAGCAGAAAGCCGTTACAGCTGGATGGTGGGGAGTCGGTGAGCCGGCTCATGGGCAGGCTGACGAGCACCACCATGGCCGTTAAGGCCATCTGCATGCATGTGGCCTGACGCACAATCTTGGCTGATGAGAGGTAGTGATCCAAAGGCGGAAGCTAATAGTGAATGTGCATCTACCAGCGAGTTAAGAGACCAGTCAGTCTTTCTGGCTATCCAAAGGGGCCACAAGAACCGAAGCTTATCCGCATAATCGGGTCGAACAACTGAGGGACACAGTACAAGCAGCTAGTCTTTCTGTGGCGTCGTCCGCTATAACACGCCTTAGTTGATAGAGACGGTAGTCCGGACCATGGATTTTTCGGCTTCATGGATTGCAATGGCAGTGATGAGGGTTTGGTTCAGCAGATATTTATTGCAGTCTATATGAGTTGAAGACAGTCTGTAGAGGACGAAAACCCGAGAGGATTCATTCGTGTTAGCTTCCAGGAATAGCGACACACGGCAGATGTTCAGTGAAGGAATACACCCCACGTATTAATATGCACAAGCAAACCGTCCGGAAACTTTTTGCATACAGAGCACCCTTGAATATTCATAGACTAGTCCATTGAGGGCTTTGGGCGATACCCTGGCAATACAAAGGCAATGTTGAGTATAGAGCGACACCTGAGGCCCTGGAGCCTTTTTCAGAGCCGAAGTATCCTGCAATTCCCACTGCACTGTTAGCTTGGAGTTTCTTTCCAGGCTTACATTTGAACCCTAATAGCAAGTCCTACTAACTGAAACAGAGTGATAGCCTCACAACACTGACTCGCTCATGCTTGAGCCCTCTATAGGCCGCCAAGAGAGTGGCCGTCAACGGCTACGCAGCCTTTTGAATTGCAAGACTCAGGTCGCCCTCTGCTTGGTCGCTGTGCTCGTTTCCGTTTTCTGCCTACTCAGATCTTCGACCTTGACCAATCAACCAACCGGGAGGAACTAATGCAATATCTCCGTGGGACTGGAGTGTGGCCCATCGTGGGCGCAGGTCGAGGCGGCTGAATGCTTCTACAACCTATTTATGAGCTCCTAAGTGTCGCCGCGGTACCATGATGTGCAGCTCTACCGCCAGTAGATGGCTGGAGTTAACAATACTTTCTATTTGGATATACTAGGTGGGAAGCCGTTTGGAGCGGCCGCCATCCGGATCAGAGGCCCTGGACGAAGGCGAATTTCACCACCTGCATTGCGCCTACGTCTGGGAGCGGCAACGCCGCGCCTATGCGTATGCCAGAGCCATCGGAGAGCTATTGAGTCTTGATTCAAACCGTAGGAACGATACAAACACGACCCACTGCATCTTCTGGGACGGACACCCGAAAGCGTGGGAGGTTGATAGTCTCAATGTCACCAGAGTCAAGCCTCCGCAAGAACCTGTTCAATGACTTCTTGGGCCCTAGGACATGAAAATTTTGATAGGTGAAAACATGCAAAACTAACCAACTGGTGGCGGCTATGACTAGAGTAATCGAGATGTTTGCATATTCGCTTCAGCAGATGAAAGGGAGACAACAAAGATTTGTAGCCGTTAGAACCGTGCTTTGGCGAGTTTGATCATATTCGGACTTGGGCCATCGAATCATGCCATCGGCCCAGCCCGCCAAATTTTGGCATCGAGGGGTTGCCGGATCGCTGATAATGATGGGTGAAAACGAACCCGGTGCGGACATGCCCGATGGGCGGCGTGATCACCGAAGAGTCCACACCGCAGGCTTGAACCCTGCCAATCATATACATCGATCGAGCCCACTAGAGCCAACAGCGACATGTCACAATGCAAAGACGGCGATTCGACTGACCCGATCACAAAAACCAAACCCAAACCCGATAGATTGCTGATGGCCGCGTCGGCAATCTGTTGTCGAGTTTCAAGTGCAACCAGGTCGCACAGTGAGTGCCGGTCCCATGCCGGTAAAATAGAGCCCCAAGTCTACCGTCTCGAATTATTCAGAGCCTTAGCTGACACGACTCTCTGATCCTCATGACCAGGACGACTTTTACGAGACGTAGACGCCGTGTAAAAAGGCCTTGTTCTATTTTAACACGCAGCATTGGGTGAACGAGCTTAACCTTGACTGTGTCAAATACTTTGTTGAGTAGGTGATGTGGCTTTGCGCTTAGCGAAAGTGTAGCAATCTGGGTGAAAGCCGGATACATATTTAAGACGGATTTTGGCTAGCTAAATAATACACAAAATCTGATGGCATATGTATTACAGCCCATTCACAGTGAGAAATTTATTCAGAATAAATCAACGATCTATTCAAAATAAAGGAGCTGTTTCTTAGTGAAATGACATGTCATCCACCGGAAGAGAGCCTAGAGAGGAAAAAAGTGCGTATTCCTGAATCACGCCACCTGTCTAACATCAAAACAATCGAGCTTGTATTATATCATCAGTAGTTTGCCAGGGTCTGCCTATTTTAAACTCGAAATCAAGCCACTCTTGGGTCCCGAGCGCCTCGAAAAGTTCCATGACCGCTGTACTAGGTCTCCAGTCTCCGACTTGCCACTGCACCACCGTGGTCGCCGTCTTGCTGTCGCCGTCGCCGTTGTCGCCGCCACCACGGCCAGCAAGATACCGCACACCCCACCTGTGCACGCTGGCGTTGTCGTACGGTGCATCGCCGGCATACTCCTCTTCTCTTCTCTCCGATGGCGTCCACCATACATGTGCAAACATCTCGGCGTCCTCCAATCTGGTCATATTAGCCACCGCCGCTGCAAACCGCGCAAGCAAAGGCTCGACTCTCTCTCTGTGCGGCTCAGTGCGGAACAGATCGGGGAAGTAATCGAACTCAGAGTCACCGTTTGGATATTCATCGAATTCCTCATCAATCTCTTTGTCCTCAGGTATGTCGTGTTCGCGGGGGTAATCCATAGTTTCAGAAACTCGGAAACCGCCTTCTCTCTTGTCCCCAGAGCCACCACTACGCAAAGGATCCTCGCCACGCGGACCGACAAAGTACCACATCCCATCCGGGCGCAGCGGGTGGATCTCTATCCGGAGCCGTTGCATAGATGACCACTGCCGATCCTCTACCCCTGCAGTAGGGAACAAGTCCTCTGTAACCAGGGCACGGAGGTCGAGCCTTTTGAGATGTGCGGCCAGCCTGCACAACCCCACGCTCAGGGGATCTCTCTCGGCCGGATATATCAGATCCGGTCGAGCGACGCTCTGATCCTCCACCGAGATTTGTTCCGGCTCCCAGAAATGCAGTAGCGCGTTCTTCAGACCCACCGGTATCCGCCTGCCGCGGAGGAACTTCTCCTGCTCACAAATCGCATTGCCAAATTCGTGCCTCGCGTCCCGAAGGGCTCCCTCCCAGGGTCGAGCGTAGTGCTCTCGCACCGGCGTGCTGGGCGTGGCGTAAGGCATAGGCCTCTCCCACATCCACGGGAGCATGAGCGTGGTGAGGTTCGGCAGGGCGGCCATGCATTGCAACGGGACGAGTAGTGACAGAGGGCGGAGGTCATACAAGTTGCCGAGCCCCTTATAAGAGCCTGCCGATTCGACAGATAGTTTATGTACGAAGGAAAGGACGGGCAGGGTCTCCGGGTCATGCAAACGGAGACGCCGAGAGTGGTACCTGCGGTGGTCGCAGTCAGGGTAAATGTCAAAGGACTGCGGCGCGATCCTGATGCCCAGCGCGATACCCTCAGGTGCTACCAACGCGGAGGAATGGCTAGTGATAGCAGCATGGGCGGCGAGCTGCGAGTACAAGGCGTGGATGCTGTACGAGATGTGAGCGCTGACGTACGCGGTCTCCTGAGCGGTCTCGTGGCAAGCCAAGCGGTTCTCTGGAGGGTTAGTGAAGAGCGGCAGCGTGATGTCGCACTGTAGGTTGCCGCGCAGCATGCCGTCGGGTGACTGAGACGTCTGGGTTTTGGCCCGGGCTTGACTTTCATAGTCTTCGTCAAGCACGAGGAAGCCCATGATGGTTTGTGCATTGGTGCAGGATGCTGGTATTCGATGGTGGTGGAAAGTGGAAGGAAAGAGGTGGAGCAGTCGTTCCCGCCTAAAAGCAAAAAGTCTTCTTTTGGGATCTAGTTAAAGAGTTTGGCCAGCAGGATTCAGTGTGGTAAGTCACTAGAATGTGAATGGCTTCTGGGTAATGTAAAAGGGTATAAGGAGTAACCCAGAAAAGAAAACAGCCAGTAGTCTCGGGTATGAGTTTCCCAACCAAGAGTTGGTACAGACTAGCTATCATCTCTCAGAATGCCCAGTACGTTTCCAATTTTTATTCTCAAGGATGCGACAAGGCCTCGTCCCGACTTCTCGGAAGGATTGCAGGCCTGGTCCATGATGCTCTGAAATGGTTCGAGTGAATCCGCGTAGCTCAACAAGCCCCTTGAAACGTCTAAGAAGAGAGAGAAGAGGTAGGTGCCGCCCACAGGCAGCACCAGGTATAAGGTCCAGCGTCAGCTCGATAATTGCACAATGAGGCCGGCGAAGAAGGGACCAAGCGCAGCGCCCAAGAATATCATGCTCATGATGATGGCCAGGAACTTGCCGCGCTCTCTCAGCGGCACCACGTCGCAGATGATAGTCTCGATGAGGACGACGGTGCCGCTGGCTCCGATGCCCTGAATGATTCGGCCGACGATGAGGGTCGCTATGTTATTGCGCAGTTGCAAATGCCGCTTCCGAGCACGAACAGAGCGGTTGAGATGAGCATGGGCCAGCGGCGACCAAAGACGTTTGCCAGCTGTCCGTACAAAAGCTGCATCGCCGTGCTAGCAGGAGACGGGTTATCCTGGTCAGTTGGGTCCATATATGGGGGTCCCTTAACCCCAAACGCCCGAGCATGTACTCACATGGCGAACAGATATCCATTCACGATCCAGATGTAGAGGTGGCCGCCGCCGAACTCATGGACAATAAAGGGAAAAGCCATCGATGTGATGGTCCCCTCCGGAGCTGTGAGCAGACCAGCGAGGCTGATGGATGCCAGGAGAGCCCGTTATCCCCAGTGCCGCCTGAACGGGGCCAGGCGTTTGCTGTCGCTGGTCACTGGAGTTCCCGGAGACTCTGGACTTGCTTCCTTTGTAAAAGAACTCAAGGTGTTGCCGCCGGGCGCGTCGTGGTCTTTCGCACCGCTGGCCAAATATGTTTGCATGGTTTCAGACATTTTTTGTGACAAACTCGGGTCGTGTGCCACATTCTTCTCGTCAGGTTTGTGTTCGGATGATGCCATCCCATATGTGTCGACGGGTTTCGGGATGTTTGCCTGCTTGCTGGCACTCCCATGATCTTGGTTTCGGAGACCACAGTTACCTTAGGGGGAAGAAAAAGCTAGGAAGCCAGTTTCTTGTCAAAACAAAAGACGTGCCCTTCTCGGGGTCTGCCCCTGCGATCAGGGTATTTCACGTTGCGGAGGCTCCGACAAAGGGGGATTTCATTCGTAGGCTAGGAATTGCCCGATTAGGAAATTCGGACGGTCGGACGCAGCGTTTTTAGCTGGTCATGCAGCGCCTCCTTCTTCCTCCCCCCTAATACGGCCTCTTATGTCCTACTCGCAACCTCTCATTCCTCTGCAAACACCAATCTTGCTAGTTTTCTTGCCTAGCATGCCTGTGGATCTACAGTTGCAAAATATAGCACCCTCTAAGCCTACGGCACCGAAGCCACTAGTGATGCCGAGCTAGGTACACTAGTACAGCTAGCAGCTAGTAGGCTATTTAATAAGTAAAATTGCTAAAAGGCTAGGTAGCATGTTAACTAGTAAGTTGTTATATTTGAAAACAAGAGGAATAAGCAACATAAGATTATAGCTATCAGCTATTTAGCCAGTCCATCCAGTTAACGTTGAACGACAACATGGCAGATGACAGCATTGTAGTCTTCAATGCATATGAGCAATAATCCAACACCGATGACGACAAGGCATGCACTGAACAAAAGTACTGGGATATCCTGGGAATACTGCCCAGCACTGGTTATCCAAGGCGTTGCCGCTCACAGCCGAACTCCGAAAGATATTCAACAGCTTGGTAATTGGCATCAATGACGCTATCAAGACGTCGTCAATGATGTGAGCAAGAACAGTGACGTTAAATAGAGGACCGAATATGTATTTCTTGCAGCAAAAAGACATAACTTGAAAGCTTCATTATGCCAACGGTAACTTCGACAGCGTTGCGGATTGGTATAGGTGGACTTGAAAGGGATTCCGATAGAAACACTGCGATCCGCAGGGACACAGAAATTAACCGGATGAAGAGCAACCGGAATTGCAGTTCTTCGAGCCGGATACACCTGCGGTTGGTAAGAAACATCTCTCCTCAATGATTATCTCAAGCAGGTGCGCTTTACAGTCATAGCTGACACATTGCTCACCAGAGCATGATGAGCTCCGACAGAAGATAGAGGCTGAGGCATATTTACCGACGCAGGAAGAGGTGGCAATTCTGCAAGAGTACGAAGATCTACAGCGCAAAGATAACATCTACGACTCAAGTTTGTGGGAATCGGCAGACCCACGAGCCGTGGCGCGTTACTGACCCAACCCACGAGACACTCCGTTCCCGCCTAGTTGCCCCAGCGACAACACCAGCCATCTTCGCAGATTTATAGCCATGCCTATGCCCGACAGCTTCACAAAAAACTTTAATCCTAACGAAAAAGGCCACGCCGCTATTGCTTCATATGCACGGGCAATTAAGCGCTGAGCTGAGTAAGTCGGCAAAGAGGGCGACAGTTGCAGGCTGGTTAACGAATTGAAGTGTTAGCAGAAGAACGGTTATAAATACGCACACCCAGCATTTCTGGGTAGGAACTAGAAAAACTTCCGTAACGCCCTTGACGCGCCTGAGCACGCCGTTGGTTGGAGTATCGAGAAGACGTATAATTAGGGCACTCCAGACCAGAGCAACTTCAAGAGTGAGCTCACCGAAACCGCGTCTGAGTTCGATAAGGACAAGTGTTTGGAGGCATTCAACAAAACTATTCACAGTTGCGACGGTCCAGACTCGAATAACTCTATGAACTGGAAATTTGGCGGTAAATGGGCCACGGGCGAGTATACGTACTGCGTCGATATTTACCGCGACAACCGCCCTTGGCCGCCACAATAGGAGCCCGTTGGCGACTGCAGGAACGAGTACAAGGGTTTCCTCAACATTATCTTCATCAACGGCGGTGGCTGAGCAATGGCGGATTTTGGCCAGGATACCTTCAAGAAACAGGCTGGCCCCTGTATCGGTTCGACGCCGACGCATTGGAATTTCTGGTACTACGACAAGCCGGACAAGGACGGCAACGAGCGGGCTGCCAGCTTCAACACCCCTGTCTTCACGATAGCGAGGTACTTCAATCATGACAAAGTTCCCAATAATTCTGGCAGGTGTGTTAGTGGGTGCAGAGGGTTAGGTTAACTAGTGGGTCAAAACCCCAACGGGGAGAGATGATATCTGAGTTTCATTTTGGCCACCTTCAACAGAGCGATATTTCTCTTTTGATCAAACATTCAAATCAGGTTAGGTTTAAAACATTGTCTGTCACAATAAAATACATTTTGGTGTCCTCAGATTATATAACACTCCCTGTTAGGGATGCTACGGAGATTAGGGTTAAGAGTTGCAATCGTACCCAGAGGTGTGCAGTATATTCTGAAGCATATGTGTTACGACCCAAATCCGGTTGGTGACTAGTGCAGCCTGAAGCGAACCCCTGGAGCGGCCAACAGGGCAGCCAGACTTTCAGGTATACAGGCTAACGGCACGAACTAGGCTTAGAACGGAAGAACTAGGGAAGGTTATATAATAGATTAGTTAGATTATTAGTAATCTAATATAATCTTTTAGTAAAAATTATTAACTAGTAAAACTAATCTTTTACTTAGGATTATAAGTAATAAAAATAATTTAAAAAAGAAAACTAAGATATAAGGATATTTATTTTAAAAAAATAAAAACCTTTTATAGCTTTTTAGTAATTAACTTTATAATTTACTTTTTTATAAGTAACTTTTAAATTATTTTTTTATTATAAAGCTATAACTTATTTATACTTAAATATACTTAACTAATTACTAAATATTAATAAACTAATAAGATTACTAATAAGACTTATTTTATTATTATGAAGTACTAACTTTAATATATATATATAGTAAGTAAATTAATATAGTAAGTAGATTACCTTTCTTTACCTTTCTACTATTATTATAAGTTAATTTAGTAGTATTATATAAAATCAATTAAAACTACTTATTATCCTCTTTTTTAAAGGTTTCTTAAACTACCTAATATGTTTATATATTATGTCTAGTCTTTTTATAATTACTATATTGCTAACCACGTAATTTACCCCCCTTTGTACAAGCTCTCTCCTAATACACATTTTCGCCTCTAGCATTAATAATACCCTTTTTTACCTAGATTACCTTTACTTTAACTATATTAAAAGACCCTTTAAGATATAGTTAGGTTTTTTTAGCCCTTTAACGTTTACTTAATATCTTATTTACTATATAAAGCTTATAGTACTTAGCTTTAATAAGAGCTAGTTTATATGTTAACTTACTAATACTTTTAGCTTATAAGTTAACTACTTTATATAAATAAGTTAATAAGCTATATTAATAACTAGTAATTCTTTTTTTAAGTAATATAAAGCTTTATATAGTATTATATATTATAATTAATGTCTTTAGGTCCTAAGAGCCTTAGCTACTTAAACATAAGTTAAATAATATTAACGTTTTAAGCTTAAAATCTAAATTAAAAATAACTACTTTTAAGTTAAAAGAAATAAAGTTAACCTATTTAAAGCTAACTTATATATTTGTTTTACTTATTAAAGTAAAAAAGGTTACCTTAAAAGTAAAAAAGAAGTTATTTTTAATAATATATATAATTTATATTTATATTATTTTCTTAATTTCTTTATTATATAATACCTTTAGTAAACTAAAATAGCTAATATTAAGAGGCTATAGCTTATATAATAAATAAAAAAATATATAAAAAGTAATAATATTATATTTCTTATAATAATTATTAAACTTAGTAGACTTATAGCTATTATAGCTATTAAGAATTAAAAGCTACTTAATACCTTTTATATAAGACTTTATATTTTTTTAAAATACTATAGCTAATCTAAGCTAATCTTATTTATAGTCTATCTATTTTTATTAAAATAAATATACTATTAAAGTAAAAATTAGCTATTAGTATACTATAAGAAAAAGTAATATTTACCTTTAACAATAACATACAAAAGCAGTACCTAGCTATCTATATATACACCCTAAATAACAAAAACCTATTTATAATTACCAAGCTACTTTATATAAGGCCTTTTATAGTAATTAAAGGTTATAATAACTTTTATATATAACAATTTTCTTATTAAAAAGCCTATTCTATTAAAATTATAGATATTATTATTATAAATTCTATACTTTATAATTATGTTTTATATAAAAGTAAACTAAGCCTATATAATTACAGGATCCTTAGCTAATACCCTCTAATAGTTAATTTTATATTAAAAACGCGTCTTTAGTTATAGTTAACGTTATATAAAGTTCTTTGCCTATCAAGGTCTAACACATATTATATTACGTTTATTAAAGAAATAATCAGCTATATCTTATATATTATTAAGTTATAATAGAAATCCTTAATTAATTAGGTTAATAACTTATTTAAGAATTATTATTTCGTTTAGTTTAGTTATCTTTATTAATTTTAATTACGTTTCTTGTTATAGTAGTTATCTAATATATTAATAGTTAAGGGTTAAGAATAAGATCTTATAGATAAAAGCTACTTTTTATATAGATAGTTTTAGGTCTTTTTAGATAGCTTTAAGTACAAAAATAATACAGCTTTTATTTAAAGAGGATTCTATAGTTATACGTAGAGAAAAGTTGTTATAAGGAGAAAA